AGGTAAAATAGGAGGTCACAATGGCAGTACGTAATAAAGATTCTGTGAAAGTTTCATTAAATTTCATTCAGTGGTATGAGAGGAGTTGCGGATAAGAGATGGGTACCCCAAAGCGTAACAGACGGACGTACATACCGATTTCTATATACCCTCCCACTTTTCAAGCGGGGGGTATAATAAAATCAATTGTTGAAGTGCTTTCCGATGCTTTGAGTATATGACCATCATCGATGTTATGCAGGAATGAAGAGGAGTGTTTTTTTCTGTCAGATTTTTTTCTCTTATCCAATCAGATTGAGGGTTGTCTATATAAAAAACGGTGTAAAGTCAATCTTCAAAATTATTTTTAAAAAGCGATAGGAAAATAAATTACAAAGTGTAAGTACTACTTTAAATTCTAAGAATCTTTAAAAAATGGAAATGTAAGAGAAAAACATAATAATTAATTAAATGCTTAATAGAACGAGAAATGGTGATCTGTTTACTGCGTAAAATGTAAAAGGAGTTCTAACAAGCTTTTTCCGGTTGGAAAAAGGAATTTTTTTACCCCTGCTTAAGCTCAAAGTTAATAATAAAAATTTGAAATCTTATTTTATATCTACATAATATAATCATTTATTTAATAAACATTCTCAAAGATAATTTGGCTCCTATGAAAAATTAAAGAGTTCAGGGAAAAAGGGTTACTTTTGTAGAAACAAGATGTGAAACACTGATGCCCCATATGGCATTGCAAGACTATGATTAATTTTTTTTAAATGAAGGCCAAATTCAAAGATGAAGATAAAAGTACAGAAATGTTGGTACCCAAAGAAAGGTCCGATTACTTGAAATGCACATGGCATATTAAAGTCTTCATAAAAACCATTCTTAAACTAGAGGTACTGTGAGCAATGAGCTCACTAAATAATACCCTCCGCCTTCCATATGAATATAATTGGAGTGTGCATGTTTGGTTGTGAGAAACCCAAAATATGTGTCAGATCAAAAAGAAAATAGGAGGTGCACAATGGCAATACGTAATAAAGATTCTGTGAAAGTTTCATCAATTTTCATTCAGTGGCATGAGTGAAGTTGCGGATAAGAGATGGGTACCCCAAAGCGTAACAGACAGATTGACGGACATACCGATTACTATATACCCTCCCGCTTTTCAAGCAGGTCAAGACTAACAATCTTTAAAACAAAGTCCTTCGTCAACACCAATGTCATTAGATCAAAATTTACTGGTACCAAAGGAGAGATCTTATCACAAGAAATATAAGTGAAAAATGAGTCTTAGCTCAAAGCGGTCAAACGTTACGGCCAATTTTAATTTTTTTTCAAAAGAATATCAATCTTCAACGGTAAAGTTCAAAAACCCTAAAAAAAATTCGCTTACACGGAAAACATATGTGAAATATAAAAGCCTTAACTCTTCCTGTGCTTAAGTAAGGCCAAGGTTAAAAAATATGCCAAAGGTCAAATCCTAACACCATTGGTTCGAATCCCACTGTTTCATGGAGGTCGGTCTTTCGGAAGAGACCGTATTAAGCGAGGTCTCATGTCGCAGTAGATGCTTGCACGAAAAAAGATAAATCAATGCCCAATGACGCTGAGTGCCTAGTATATATCAAACTTTGCAGCTCTCCACTGGCAAGTGGTGGCGTATTTAAAAGTGGTGAGTAAAAATTTTCGAGAGAGACTTTAGACAACAAACTAATAAAAGGTAGTTAAACTCCGAGTCGAAATAAAAAGATCAAATATACTGGCACCCTAAGAAAGATCTTGTCGCAAGGAATAGACATATTAATGTCCAAATACCAACCATTCAAAGGTTTTGGGGAAAATTACGTTTTTAGACAAACAAATTAACTGACAAACAAACAGACAGAAGGTCAGGGAAAAACCATATGTCCCCAATCCTCGATTACGGGGATATAAAACCGTCATCTTTTGACTTTCCTTCGGGCCGCAGTGCAAAAATGAAATTTCAGAAACATTTTGCTAAACCAAAGGGCATCATCAAATATCTTTTAGAAGATAATTGGGTTTTGTGTAAAATATGAGGAGTTCTGAAAAACAGGGTTTTTATGTTCCTGTAACAAAAGATTCGATGTTTAAAAGTTTTGCTCTGACCATTCGTCTGTCTGTTTGTCCGCAAAAAACTTAAGCTCGCCCATAATTTTCAATTGGTTGGAAGTGCGGCGTTTACATGTTCATTACTGGTGGCAGGACTTTTACATGGGTACCATCATTTTAACCTTTTGAACTTGACTTTGGAATCATTTTGCAACATTTTGCAAAATAAAACCTTGGCATTAACATTGGAACAATTGGTGATTGGGCTTTTAAATTTCAGAGGTGTATTCCTAGTTCCAATCATGGAGTACGAAAGGGGACAACAGTTAAATCTTTTGCATTAAAAGATTACAATGTATCAAACTTTCAAATGAATTTAGTAATGTTACATGAAGGCAAAAATAAGACAAAGATTAAAACAAAGTTCTTACAAGCAGTGATTAAAAGTTCAAAATTTTCTGAGCTCGAAGTGAATATTTATAATCAGGGTAGCTTAGCGAAGCTGTTTAATTGTCTGGGACTGTTCAAATCAAATCTTCAATTTCCTTTCAAATATTATAGTAATTGCAACTTGACTGAACGTGAAAATTTTTATCGACAAGTGTGTTTCTAGTGTTAATGTGTTAAATTTTTGCAATTACACATTTCTTTATTTTTGTCTACTCATCTTTTAATCACTACTAGTTTTACGCATCGTGAACCTTTCTAAAGAATCATTTGAAACGTTTGAGTATAAATTAATATTATACTCTTCAAAAAAAGAAACGCATCATAGAAATTTAGTGACACATTGAACATAAAGATTATTTAGTAAAATGGTGCATTGATAAAACAGAAATGTGGTAAGCAACAGGAATACTATCTAAATGTCATAATTACTCAACAATTTAAAATTATAGTCAGTTTAAAGACCATTAAAGATCAATATCTGGTATGCCCCCCGCAGACACAAATGATAGCTACAAACGGCATCTAATGGAAGCAAATGTGTATAATAAAAACTGTATAGGAATACTCTCCCACTCAAAATATAGAACTTTAGTCAGCTGTTGCAGAGTCTGAGGATGGGATTGTCTTTGACAAATCATGTCAATCCATTTTGTCCAATGCTGCTTAATTTGGATTAAATATAGCGATTTAGATGACTGTGACTGAAACAGGTTGTTGTTTCTTTGCAAGAATATGTGTGTCAAACGAGCCATATGTGGCTGTATATTGTGAGATTGCAATACAGCTCTAGGATGCTGCAAAATTGAATGGGTATGTGTAGGTAGAACATGGTTAGAGTACCTTTTTCCATCAAAGTCCATTGAATTCGAAACAAATCAATCTTACTTTCTTATAATACCATTCTCCATATCATTACACTACCACCAACAACTTTTGTAACGTCTTGGAGGCAGTTATCTATCTAACATTCATTAAAAAGCATTAGCACTCTTAAACTTATAAGAGGCTTTCAGATAAACATTCTGGACTAGTAGGTTAACCAAAATGTTCAGCAGTGATGCTATGGTAGTACTCTCTTCATCTGAGATCTTTGAAGTCGATATTAGGGGTGTTGTGGGGTCGGAACAATGGCATGAATAATTCTCTTGCAATAATTCGCAGTCAACTGAAAACGGTCTTGTTACATGATCTGTGCAGTTCAGAGATAGTTCATGCTTTAGATGACGTCCTTGCATTACATTCATGCAATTTACGTAATCCTCGGAAGTGATGCTGTGCTGCTGATGTCACACGTAGTCTACCATATTTTTTGCGAACATTGGGTGTTCGATGTTAATGGTTTATGTTTTATAGGTTAGATATGGTCTGTGTGTAACATTAAAACCTTTTGCAATTGTAGATTGCGGTACCCCTGCTTCCAGTCGCCTATTTTCCTTTTTGTGCCACGCAACATTCAGATGCAGCAATTTTAGGAAGCGTCATTTTTCAGATAAAACCAGATTCAAAGTATCGAGAACCCCCGCTTTTGATAACCCCTTTGTACCTGAAGGAATTACATCGGAATTCAACAAATGAAAATTGAGAACAAAATTTTGGGGAAAATTTTGCAAAATTAGGTCTTTTTGTCTGTGAGACTTGTAGAATAGCTGTAAATTTAACAATTGCATTAAAAGTCATTCATTTCACTCGAATACATCGTATCCATACAAAAATAAAAGGTATGGCAAAACTATCATACATTTTTCAGGGCATTGCTCCTACTATGCGTTTCTTTTTTTGAAGAGTATATTAACCCACAAACTGTATGGTTCTTGGTAATAAACAGTACATGTATACAACTTTCAAAATCTTCTTTGCAGGTTCTTAATTGGCATCTTGTGTTTTTGACAAGAAATCATGTTCAGAAAGAAAGTGCTGTTTTACTTCTTCTTGCTACATAACATTTCATCCTTTTCCATGAAACAAAATGGTCAGTTTCTTGACTAATTCTTACATTTAAAGTCGCTTTAAGAAGTAGAATGTCATATCTACTTTTTAAAGGCTTAATAATAATGAGGTCAAAAGAAATTTCTTGTGTTAAACTGAGATCTGTTTTTTTTTTTTTTAATTTCTAATAAAAGTAATCGTACTTAATTATTTTGGTATCATGTTATATTCAATTTAAAATTACTTGTACATGTAGTTTTGGTAAGAAAGACATGTTTAAATTATCGCAGTTTTTTTTAACTACACACGTATTTTATGTCTTTGAATTTTCTTCGAGTAGTTATATATCATACATGTAAGTATAATGAGACCGTCAAATCAGTAGGGACAAAATCTTGTTTTATTTGCATCTTCTAAAAACATTCATGTATATAATTGATCTGAAACATATTCTTTTGTTTCCTCTTCAAGTGCAAATGTCTACACATTTATCATAACCCCTTAATAATGAAAACTATACATAATTCTTTTCATGAAAGACTTGCTCTATTCAATGATTTCAGACGAGCCTCGTCAGTGTATGATTATCCAGGACAAACAAGGACTTCTACTTCCACGCAGTGAGTGCTTCTATTTTTTTCTGGAGTAGACAAAATTTATTACTGGTATACATGTCGACAGATGCATGTTCAGTTTTATACCGCGTGGTCCTGTTCTTTTTAAATGAACATAGAATACTGCTTTTGATTTTAAAAAAAAAAATAATGATGTAAAAAAATCAAATTTTTTGAACGAGCAATTATTTTTTTCTGTAAGAATAAGAATTACACAATGACAAATCATGGATATTGTGTTTGTATGTCTTTGTGTTTGTAAGTCATATCTTTTATAGGGAAACCTGAGTTTTTGACAAGCAGAAACAAGGAAATGTGCCAAATAAGGAATTCAAGTAATTATTTCAACTTTAAATAACTAAGGGTACTGTCCTTTCTGACATAATTTATTTTATCAAATAAACTCTGCAATATGACTTTATATTGCAGAGTTTATTTGATAAAATAAATTATGTCAGAAAGGACAGTACTCTGAGCTATGAGCTCACTAAATGATACTCCGAGCTTCCCATATGAATATAACGGCGAAGTCCATATTTTGCTATGGGAGACACGTGTCAGATCAAAAAGGATATTGGAGATGCACAATGACATTATGCAATAAAAAATATGTGAAAGTATCATTCAATTTTATTCATGGTAGAGGGGGAGTTGTGGATAAGAGTTGAGTATCTATCAATACTCGTATTGTAGAAAGAATGGCCATGTTTTGTAATGGGAAAACCAAAGTACGTGCCCAATCAAAAAGTTAAATGGAGAGTGCACAATAGCTCAATGATATTCTGTGAAAGTTTCATCTAATCTCATTCAGTAGTATAAAAGGAGTGGCGGATACGAGATGGGTATGTATACCCCAAAGCGTAACGGACGGACGGACGGACATAACGATCACTACTTACTCCTCCTAATTTTAGAGCGAGGGGTTTACAAAACAGAGCTAAAATGATAGAAAGAATTCCAAAAAGTTAATTTAAGGTGAGAAGGAATCAAATGAGAAAAAATTATATATCTCTTTTTAAAAAATACATGCATTGTTCTATCATTTAATATACTAATACTTATACTGCTATTTTTCCAGGTAGCAAAGCTTTACGTTGTGGCAACACAAGTGTTTCCATTAAACCAGAGTGTGTATGCTCCTTTCACAATCTATATGAAGCAATGTATCATGATCATTTTTCTTGTCCTGGTGAAGTGAAGTCAGACAATGTTAGATTATTGAGATGTAAGTTATTTCACATCGTCAAGTTGTAAGTTAATTCAGAGTACCAAGAGGTCCACGATGAAATTTTAGTCATTTGCTACAATGAAGTTGCATTAAAGGGGTAAATTTTTCGTTTCTATGAAACGTTTTGGGCTCTCTTTAAAACGTTGGTTGTCATATAATGACTGTTTTACAGGTAATTGAATGAAACGTTTGACCCTTTTTTAGCCGGGCTTATTGCTCAAAGAGCAATTGCCGGCTTATGTGATCCTGTTCAAGGCAGGATGTTGACCCCATAGTCGCCATTTTAAAGTTACGAGCAAACTTATAGTTCTTATTCTCAACCGCTTTTGAGATAATACAAACGCTAAATGAAGCAACAAAAATAAAATGAAGTTTTATCTATATAAAATAAACATTAGTAGTAATGACTTTGAAAACTTCATAAGTCAAAGAACATAGTTCATTAGCGTAAGGATTTTTGATAATCAGTGTTACCGTAGTTCTCTACACATACGAGGTTAAGAAAGAGAGGGAACCAGATTGCATTGGCCTGTTCACATTCAGCTGCGGTACCAGATTAATTCTGATTCTGACAAAATCGGACCGTGGTATTAGGATTGAAAAACTCACTGTCAGTGTCTTATCATTTATAATATATTTTTCATCAGAATATAAACGTGATTCATGTAAGAAATCCATTTTACTCTGTAAATGAGCCCGGCTCTCTATACTTCTGAGTACTTTGATTTCTCTATAGTGGTTAGTGCGTCTACTCTAGAGTCGCGAAGTAGGTTGACCCTTACGTCAAGGGTTCGAATCCCACTATGGGACGTGGAGACCGATCCTTTGAGACCGTATATTCCTACATAATCACCAGTGTTAGATTGACTGGTCCGGTGTTAGACAGCAGTGTGAGATTTTTCTGTCTTACACTGTGTATTACTGCGCCACGAATGATAACGTAAACATTCCTTCTTTATTTAAAGAAATTGTTACAATGTTAAAAAATATCACATAAACTTAAAATTTTGTTAATAAACTTATTGAAATAAACTTATTTTCATCAAAATATTGTCGTATTTTTACTTTTTAAGTGGCACTACGTTTATATCGCGGAAGGAATCTTCTAAAATGAATTTGTACGCTATCGGATAGATATGGCACGCAAAATTTACAAAAATGAACTAAACATAGTTTCACAGTTGATAAACTAGGTTTATCGACTGTAAACTATAGTTTACAAACCGTGAACTATAGTTAATTCGTTAACTTAACTATAGTTTTCATCTGTAAAACTATATTTAACGGTTGTTAACTATAGTTTACGAATGCTACGATAGTTTTTCTGTCTGTAATATAAAACGTTAACAATAGACTTTGTTGATAAACATAGATTTACGTCTGTTAACTATAATTTACAATCGTGAACTATAGTTAAGAGTTGTTAATAGTAATTTCACAGTTTATCAGATCGTTAACTATAGTTAAGAATTGTAAACTTTCGTTTACAAATCGTGAAACTGTATTTTTCAGATAATCTATGTTTTGCAATCGCAAATGATTGTTATCAGTGTTACGTATAGTTTACGGTTCTGAAACAGATTATCGCGTTGACTATAGTTTACAGATGTAAAATATAGATTAACGTTGTTAATTAAAGTTTACAGTCCTATACTTTATAGTTTACAACCGATAAACCTAGTTTATCGACTGTGAAACTATGTTTAGCTCATTTTTGTGAATTTGGTGTGCTATAGATAGATATGTTTTTCCCCAGATTTTATCTATCAAATTAATTTATATGGACAGAAATTCATTTTATCAGTTTACACTGTGTGTAAATCATTTTAGCTACGCTTTTTCCGATGCTGTATTCAGATTTTTAATTAGATTGAAAGTTAAAAATATATTTTTTTAGCCTTTTGGCGACGTCATTGACAGGCCGTTATTCTGGATAAAATAATGCGAGAAAAAGAATCATTCATTACATACTCGTATGGGATAGTTAAATAGTTAAATTCCACTGTGACATCGGGGCCAATTTCACTGTCTAGGACAAGGCTTTGCCGAGTCGGCAATGAATAGACTATGAATCTTTTCCCCTCGGTGAAATTTCACTATCCCACACTCGTAGTAATGAATGATTCTATTAAAAACCCAGGTCCCGTGTCAAAGTAATTGTTGGCACGAAAAAGATCCCTCACTGCTCAATGGTTCTAAGTGCCGAGTAAAAGACAAAAATTTTCAGCTCTCCATCGGCAAGTGGTGGCGTCTATATATGAGTGAAAAATTCTCGAGAGGGACGTTAAGGTTTTGCCGAAGGTCAGGATGTCTAAAAATTTACTTTTACAATACCTCCTAAACTATGTGATTAATAATGTAAAAATTTTACAATTTATAAATATATAATTGATTAACAGATAGAGAGTATCACTTGACAACAAATATTAAAACACACACACACACACACACACACACACACACACACACACACATATATATATATATATATATATATATATATATATATATATATATATATATATATATATATATATATATATATATATATATTTAATTTTGAGAAAAAAACATATATCGAGGAATTTGCATATTTAAAAGAAAGTGCATCTTCTTAATTCTGTACTTTTAGTGGAAACCATAATCAGATAATTGCAGAAATAATATTATGTTTATCAATGAAAGCAAGTTGGGCGTGAATGGTTTCTGAAAGGCTGTTATTGAAAGCATGACACTTATAAAGACAAGACCCCTATAAAATTAGCCAGTTGCAATGTTTTTGGGGGGTTCAAATCTTAACACTAGGACAAAATAAACAGGGTAAACAACTTTTCAGAGGCTATCGTAGTCCAACTAGCCCTTCATTGATAATCACATATTGAATTTTTTCTGCAATAACGGCTTTCACTAAAGTACGGAATAATAAGTGAAATTGTTAAAATGTATGTATTTTTTCAAACAATTTTTTTCGATAAATATTTTTAAGAATTTGATATCAAGTGATACTTTCTATCTGTTAATCAATTATATATTTATAACCTTTAAAAAAGTTTTAACTTTTTAAGCCACATTGTGTTGGAGCTATTGTAAAAGTATTTGGACATGTTGACCTTTATTAAAACTTTAAACAACATACAATCAATCAATCCTCTCTAAATTTATGGATGTACCATGACAGTAAGCGTTCTAAAGACAGCACCAAACGTTCCATTCAAACAAAAAAAAACCGAACTCCTGATTCCCGCCTACATTTTGCACCCATTTAATTCAATAACTAATGGCAATTTAGCCCTAAATTCTTTATACAAAGTACAATTTAATAGTAATTGATTAATTATTTCAATACCATCGCTAATTAGCAAATAATTCCTATTTCCAGCTATTGAAATATGGGGTGGGGGGGGGGGTTAGACGATGTTTTCCATTAAAATCGGACTTTTAAGAATCATAATATTTTTAAATAGTCTTGGATATATATAATTATTATTTTTCTTTATTGTTCCAACTATCTGATTGGCTCAAACAGGATCACATGACCAAGTATAAAAAGTGTTACAGACTAGATGTTTCTATGTTAAAAAATTATAAACCTGCTGTTTCTAAAATTGGAAACGTTTTTCTGTGAAGCAACAATAGTGCTGATCACAATAGTCTTTATAACCTGGATGTTTCTAAAAACAGATACTGCAGCTGGTTTTCATTACTGTGACGTCATAAAGCAAATGACATAACAATGCCTTGTATGAGAAGGTACTGAGTATTAGAAAGAATTTAGGATTTCAAGATATTTCTTATTAACTGACAAAAAATAATAAAACAATTGTAGCGTATTGATTCGGTAGAATCCCTCGATATATAGACCTTAGAGAAAGCATATCCACCCCTGCGAAATGATATTCATGATTTTAAGAACCTTTATGAGTTGTTCATAATTGTTCATGAATGGTTCTTAAAGGATTCTTAACAGGTTCATAAAAGTAGTTCATGAATAAAATTCATGAAAACATTCATAATTCATAGTTCATGAACAAATGATGAACAAATATGAATATTGGTAATTTTCAGTTTAAAGAAAAAACCTTAATAGTTCAAGGTAATGAATGTTCATGAATTTTCATGAAGACTAAAAATGTAGAAATAATTGTCACAAACGATCGCCAGAAAACACTCATTACTCCCATAATACAACTTTTGCATGCAGAAGCAGTCGTTGAACAAGCCCCTGATTTAATTAATAACATGCTTTTGTTTTGATTTTGAAAGTATGGGATCAGAGCCGAGTGGGGGAACATAAGAGGTTAAAATCACTATTTTCTACTCTATGTAATTGATAACTTAGGTTCTTCAGGATAACAAAACTCTGTTATGAACTGTCTAGAAGGGAGATTATAATTAAATTATGATCGTAATTTAAAGAACACTGCATCAATATTGACAGCATTTTTTTTCTCATATTGAATTACTAATGTTTCTTCATCATTTAAATTGGCCAGCTATATTAATATTGTGCTTTAAATTATCTCATTTTTCACGACACAACTTTCTTCGACCGAATTTTCTCTATTTGTCAAACTTTTAACAAGTTGTAAGAAAATGAAACAGACTTTCAGTCTAGGAAAAATTTCATTGTCTTCGTAAAAACGTATCATAAATTTATTGACAACTAAAAAATTATATCTCTTGTCCGTACTGTACCGTACCATTCTTGGGTCGAAAAGCTATATATTTTGATGCAGTTATAAAGTCACATTTTTCTGTCCATCGTGTGTAAATGATACAGCACAGGCTGCATGGTTGTGAAGAAGCTATGACATGAACCACATTCGTATTTTGTAGTCTATTCTCCTAATACACTTTCATAGCTCAGGGTACTCAGTTTGAGGGCGGGTGGTTCCAAGAGATATTTGTTGTCCTCTGATAGCAATGGAGGCGGCCATACTTGAATACGAAACTATGGCTAAACAGGTATAATGTAAAAAAAATCCAATTCAATAAAT